CTCATGTAATAAACACAGCACAGATCCCAAAGCCATCTGGCAGTATATGGTACTTGGTCTCCCATGCACAGGGCAGGTTATATCAGCTTTGTGTTAGGTTTGCATTCCCAATCCCAGCTGAAGACCACCACATTTGGGGGAAGAATGTAGGTGTAATTTTTTCTGTAGCTAAATGTTGCACACTATACATAACAGAAGCTCATTCTTTTGCATAAATGCAGTAATGTGAATGCACATTCGATTAACATAAAAAGACCCTTACCAGAAAGTGAGTAATCTGTATTAGTCATCCTCATGGCTGGAGTGTAAGATACACTTGGCATGTCATGCCCCTTCTCCTTCTGTTTCCGTCGATACCACACAAACAGTGCCAGCAAGACCATAATAATTAGAAGGAGAATAATAATTCCAATGATTGCTCCCACTGAATGCCTCTCTGATCCAAGAGCAGGGCTAATTTTAGTATAGGGATTTAATTCTTCCATCATAAGAGCCGCTGTTAAAAGTAATTCATAACACACTGTAAATTGAATGGCACAATTCATCTTTCAAAGATTTCTTTTCAGCAAGAACATCATTGTAAAGGGGGGGAAAAAAACCCCTAAAGCACACAGAATTTCCCCGTACCTTGATCACACCTGATCCCTTTGAAGCCTGGGCTGCAGTAGCAGGTTCCTGTGACGTGATCACACGTCGCATTGTTCATACATTCGCACAGCTGTTTGCAACCATAGCCAAACGTTCCAGGTGGGCACTCTGCAAAGGCAAACCAAAGAGTTGGAGAACTTCTTACAACTTTTATCAAGAGAAGATGAAATCCTTGTTCTGTTAAAGTCAATGGCAACATTCTCCTTGACTTCAGCAGGGGGCAGGATTTTATCCAGAATGTTCACCTGAACATGTTAAACCGTGCTTGTATTAATTGTGGGTGTGCTCTTTGGGTTTTAATGTCCCTTCTGGAAAAGTCTTATAGGACTTTATATGGATGAAACCAATCTGGTTCTACAGGAATTAAAAATGCTCCCAGGCAATTATTGTAATAGGCTACAGGATTTAATAGAGACTGAGGTCCATTCCACAGACTTTCAGAAGATGTTTTGTATCTTCTAGAGAGAGGTTATCACTCTTCATTAATTCTGCAGAACCTTTCCATACGGGTTGCAAATGTAATTTTTAGTGTATATTTAGAGGGACCCAATGGATTTTTACTAAACAGAGAGCACATGTATTTATAATTATCTTCACTAATACCAAAAGATGAGCATAATAATGTAGATGGAATTACAAAATTGAGCATCTGAATGGCTTGGTTTGCTTGGTCTATACAATATCAGGCTTCCTGTATTTCTATCACAGACAAAATGATTGAATGTCCAACTGAAAAATTTATTCATACAATTACCATGATGGCCTATTACAATAAATCTGTAGGCAGCTTATTATGCTTCTTCGGGCAACATTCAATAACAAATTGAAAGAAAAGCCATAAACAAGTTCTGGCATTTCTTTCTACTTTCTATAGGGAAGGCGCGTTATTGAATGCAGACTCATTTGCTACGTTTCTTCATAATAAATGTTGCTGGTTTGAAGATGCGACTTCCTGTATTTTATTACAGAGGGTTTGCATAGCATGGTAATACCCACCCGATGCCAACCTTCAATAAGTAACTTCCAGTAGTCAAGTGTTCATATTAAGTAACTCATTTTAACCAGCATCTGTACAATGATTTGCAATACTTTCAGTAAGTTATAAAACTGTCTCTCTCTCTCATTATGCATGCCATTTCCTCAATGAGAAATAATAAAATGGTGCTAATTAGCACTCATGCTTATATTAACCTGCAGTCAATTTAAAACACGGGACATTTGTGGCCTCAGTTTTCAGCATTTCATCACTAGAAAAGTATTAGCATTTGTGTGCTTCACCTTCACACACAGCTTTGATGACTGGCCCAAGCAGGATTCAGAGATTTAGACCTCTGCATGGATAGAGGAGAGCCCCAGAGTCATAACAGTGTATAGCAGAACTATCTAACAAGAGGGCTTTGGAAGGGACAAGAACCCTTAGGTTTCAGGGCATATACATGCTCTAATGATTTAGGGGGCCAATCTTTTTGGTAGGCATGCCAAAAACTGACTTCACACCCACCCCAAGCGCCACTCCGATCCCCTTCCTCTGTCCAATCTGCTGCTCTTTTTGCACCTTGCCCTGGGCTCCCTGCCCTATGTGCTATGTCCTGCCTGCCCCCTTCTTGATTTGCCACATGCCACACACAGGCTGTGCATGCCACAGGTTGGCCAACCCTGCTCTACTTGACATAGACAGGTGAAACGCTAATGTGAAAGCAGGTTATTGTCTACGGGTGCCTATGCTCGTGCTTCGACGTGTTCTAATTAACTGAGTCCACTGGAACGTTCTAATTAGAACGCCCCACCGTGCTGCAGCATCGTGTGTACCCAGCCTCCCACGTTTCAAAATGGTGATGGGGGAGCTTTAACTAAAACTCATTAAGCACCCCCATGGCCATTTTGAAATGCAGGATGCTGAATATATGTGATGCTGTGGCATTTGAATTACAGCAGCTGTCCAGGAGCTACTGTAATTAAAATGTCCTTCCCTCCCCCAACCCCGGAGCACAGATATAGACATCCTAAATGCCTCCTATACCTTCCTGTGCAAAACCTGGTACTAGGCCGTACTGGGGAAAAGATACTGGGCTAACAGCCTGTTAGTCTATTCCAGGAGAAAATTTCCTATTAAGTGGGCAGTTGCCATAAGTGTGTGTACAAATGAACAGCTAATGTATTAATCAGTCGTTTGTATACAGTTACTATGACTGCATGCACTGTCCGGAACTGAGCACACAAGCCAGGCCCATGGACACACAGCCAGGACCAGTCCCTGTCTGCGCATTCGGAGCGTGGGGTCCTGCATCTCATGAATATCCATGCAAACATCCAAAAGGCTGAAGAGGGCTCAGACATACTGAGGAGCCTGAGATGGAGCAGACTCCCAATTTGAGAATAATATGACATATTATGGCTTCACCCGGGTGCAAGCAGAGAAAACCACGGGGGCCAATGTTGCAAGAAGGTGAGCTGGACTTCAAATAAACGTGAGGGAATTCTCTCCTGATTTACTGTATTAGACAAGTGGGTAATTATTCAGCTCCAACCCTTCCAGTTTCCAGCGGCCGATTGTTTGCTGCTCCAAGAAGCTGTTTAGCACAGGGTGTTAAATATGCCAGCAGGCACCCGACAGCACTCACAATAACGTCTGCCAGTCTCCTTGCGAGGTAATTGGAGTCCGTTGTTAAACACTCCCTCACAATGCCAGTTAAATGCACATCTTTCCCCAAATGCCATGCCCTCCACCCCCTTCGCTGATGCTAAGTTCTTGCCTGCTGATCCATTTGCAGTGAAAAGCCTGACACGTTGCACAGGGTCACACCTACCGCACAGCAAAAACAGCAGCAGCACATCACTGCAGGTGATGTCCTGACCCGGGCTAAGGAGCAAAGGTCCCCTATGCCCCTTCTGTGGGTGGCTCAGACCTTGCGGCCAGGCTTGAAGACTCCTTGCTCCCTCCCTGGAGCAAGTGGGCAGAGAATAGGCAGAGCGCCAGCTCTGGTCTCTACACCGTGTTCTTGGCTGCAGTAATTGTGCGGTAAAATATGCATTGGGAGCTAATGACTAACCCTTGGAAGTAGGGGGGGGCTTCTGAGCTACGCCTCCACCAAAGGCTACTTGTGGGGTGGTGCAGGTCACACATCAGCTCTTTCTGAAGGCTGCGTCTGTGGTTCTGGCCCCTAAAGGCTCTGCCTGGTGATACCATATCAATTCTGCAAGTCTGAGGGGAACCTCAAGGGACTGAGCTCATGGCAGGGCTGAGGCCCCCACCCCTGGGCAGTACTGATGTGGTATGAGGTCCCCCCTAGCAGTGAAAAAAGAACACACCATAACTGCAGAGGTAGTTAGCCCTGTTAGTCTGAAGCCAGGCAGAAGGCAGGGTAGAGATACACCTTGTAGACTAACTGAACCAGAGGTGCATAAGCTTTCATGAGCAAGTGCTCATTTCATCAGATGCTAGGTGAGCTAGCTGTTGCTCCTGAAAGCTTGTGCATCTCTGATTAAACTAGTCTATAAGATACATCCCGACCCCAACGGCAGCACTGGTGGCTGATGAGGTAGGGAAGACCTTCAAAAGCCTAGAAAGGCACAAGGGGCCCAGTTCCCACCAACTGGCCATGTGAAGCTGGTGCTGCACTATTTTTGCCTTTCAAAAAACTCCCTGCACTTCCAGAGACAGAGAAGACTGCATGTAGGCAAGACCGTGGATGAGATTCCCCTTGAAGTCTCTGCCAGTCCCACAGTTCTGTGGTCCTAAGCCTGGTGGGTGAAATGTTTCAATGGGAAGGGGCTGTGAGTTCCAGGAATCCCCTGGGAAGTCAGACAGGGAGATAAATGGAAAACAATTTCCTCCTGTTTCTTAAGGCATTTTAATGTGATTTTGGTGCCCTGAGGGCATTAGCAAGACCCAGCAACAGTGTAGAAAGCTTCTGACCAAGGTTTATTAACAAGACTTTGTTCTGACATCCTGATGTGCCTTGGAAATCGGGGCTATGAACTGCAGCATGCTGCACGTGCCCAAAAGGTCAGGAAATACCAAGCACAACCAGTGCAGAGCTACTGGACACGCAGCACCCTATGTCTGTACACGTAGCTTCCTGATGGCCTGCCCGACCAGCCAATTTGCCTACTCAAACACAGATGCCGCTGCTGCTTGGGCCTTTGACAATGTGCCCCACCAGTTTCATTTGTGTTAACAGGTGTGCAGCATTCTGCTCTGGGTACTCAGTTGAAAACCATGTCTAGCTGGCTGCAAGGTTGCAAACATATACGACATGATTGTAAGGAAATGCCCATAGCTGCTTCCTGGGCACGATTCTGCCAGCCCTTCTCCAACACATCCTTTTTCCATGCCGCTGTTCCCACCTTTACACTGAATGGTCTGAAGAGTTCCAGTAAAGTAAAGGAACTCGCTCAAGTCAGGTTGAAATGTCTGACTGGTTCAAGTGCAGCACCTGTTGTAATTTCTGAGCATCCTCTCACTGGGAACACACTCCATCCTGCACTGGCATTGATGAATTCCTAGCTCACGATGCATTTAGTGTGAACGTCTACCTGGGTGGCAAACATGGGTCCCGTCCCTTTAGACCAGACACACGACAGCATGTGTTGAAGAGAAGATGAGTGATCAGCCTGAATCATTGCCAGCTTCAAAGGCATTTACAGACTACGCCCATTCTAGGAAACCTCCTTGAAGCTGAATTGTTACCAGCGGATGTCTGTTTCCACCAGGAATTGCCAAGGGAATGAAAGACAAAACGGTAAATGGAGAAATGCAGCTACTTACTTTGCTCGCACTGTTTGCCCGTAAATCCAGTTCTGCAAGTGCACTGCCCAGTGATGTGGTCACAATCCGCTCCATTCTGACACTGGCAGACATTGGCACAGTTTTTTCCATAAAAGGCTGCTGGACAACCTGTCACAAATCAGAATAAGGAAAGGCTAGGAGATACACTGGAACCTTATCGCAGCAGCATTAAAAATACAAAACATAGAAGACTTCAAGTTATACGTGCCCTCAGCCTCTGTACATTCATTTTTTATTTGATGATCAAAATGCAGAAAAGATTCTACAACTTCCTTGAAGAAGCTTTTCTCACATCTTTCTAAATGACCTCTTAATTGTCTGAAAGGAAACACTTGACCTGCCTATATAAGCTGTACTTTCAAGGAGCCAGAGATTATGGCTACAGAAAAAAAAACTGTCTTAAAGGTGGCAGGGCAATGAATTATTGGGGAAAAAAGGGTCTTCCTGAGTGTATTCCACAGTTCTGCATTCTTTTTTGTAGGGCCCTGCACAAGGCCAGAAAATGTGGTCTCAGAAGGAAAAGAAACCTTCCGTGCTTTTTCTAGACCCAGCCCTTGATGCTGAGGTGTAGAGGTTTATGTACAACTTGTACAAATACGAAAAGGAATAAAAAACCCTACATGGTTGGTTCCCTTTCAATAAGCGCCTCCAGTATCTTCAGGACCGATTTCTCCATAGTAAACCGATTCTCTACACAGGGCTGCAATACCATGAACACGCACAAGGTAGCAGCACACACTTTGACAGATTCACCCACTGTAGAATAAAGTTTCTAAACGGCTTACGCTGAGTACAGTAGAGTCCAGTCCAACCATGAGTACATCTACATTCTCCATCATGAGGACTGCACATTGCTCCATTGTGGCAGCTGCATGTGTGAAAGCAATCTGGGCCCCAAAACCCAACGGGACATGCTACAAAACAAAGAGAGATCATAATCAACACCTCAACCAAACAGAAGCTTGTTAATTTTGTTAAGCAGTGACAACGGCAGTGCTTGCCAGCTTTATACAGGGTCCTGCAATCATCTGTACTGTCAGGGGGACTCTATACCTGTGTAGAGAGTCCCCTGACACCACTGCAGTGCCATACTTCGCCCATGAAGATTACTCTACAGGACTGGGTCTTTGACTCATAGGTGGGCTGTCTATGTAGTAACCCAGACAGCACTGAATCACAGAATCATAGAAAATGAGGACTGGAAGGGACATCAAGAGGTCACATCTAGTTCAACCCACTGCTCGAAGCAGGACCAGCCCCAACTACATCATCCCAGCCAAGGCTTTGCCTACCCAGGTTTTGAAAACCTCCAAGGATGGAGCTTCCACCACCTCCCTGGGTAACTCGTTCCAGTGTTTACTACCCTCCTTGTGATAAATTTTTTCCTAATATCTAACTTACACTTCCCTTGCTGCAACTTGAAACCGTTGCTCTTTGTTCTGTCATCTGCCACCACTGAGAACGGTACAGATCCATCCTCTTTGGAACCCCCCTGCAGGGAGGTGAAGGCTGCTGTTAAATCCCCTCTTGGTCTTCTCTTCCCCAGACTAAAATCAGCCCAGTTCCCTCAGCCTCTCCTCACCAGTCATGTTCCCCAGCCCCAACGCTATTTTTGTTGCCCTCATCTGGACTCTCTCCAATTTGTCCACATCTGTTCTGTAGTGGGGGACACAAAACTGGACACAGGACTCCAGGTATGGCCTCACCAGTGCTGAGTAGAGGGGAAGAATCACTTCCCTCCATCTGCTGGGAACGTTCCTTACAATGCAGCCCAGGATGCCATTAGCCTTCTTGGCAACAAGGGCACACTGCTGGCTCCTATTCAATTTATGGCCTATTGTAACCCCCAGGTCCTTTTTTGCAGAGCTGCTGCCCAGCCCATCAGCCCCCAGCCTGTACTTGTGCATGGGACTGTTCCATCCTAAGTGCAGGACTTTGCACTTATCCCTTCCTCATCAGATTTCTTTTGGCCCAATCCTCCAATTTGTCTAGCTCGCTCTGAATCCTAGCCCTGCCCTCCAGCCTATCTACTACTCCCCCCAGGTTGGTGTCATCTGCACACTTGCTGCGGATGCACTCTGTGCCATCTTCCACACCATTGATGAAGACATTGAACAAAACCAGCCCCAGGACTGACCCTGGGGCACTCCACTTGATACTGGCTGCCAACTAAACATTGAGCTATTGATTACTATCCTCTGAGCCTGATGCTCCAGCCAGTTTTCTATCCACTTTATAGTCCATTCATCCAGTCCGTACTTCCTTAGCTTGCCTGTGACAATGTTGTGAGAGACCGTATCAAACACCTTGCTAAAATGGAGGTACATCACATCCACTGGTCTCCCCGCATCCACAGAGCCAGTCACCTCATCCTAGAAGGCAATCAGGTTGGTCAGGCATGACTTGTCCCTGGTGAATCCATGCTGACTGCTCCTAATCACCTTCTTCTCCTCCAAGTGCTTACAAATGGATTCCTTGAAGATCTGCTCCATGATTTTTCCAGGGACTGAGGTGAGGCTGACTGGTCTGTAGTTCCCTCAATTCTCCTTTTTCCCTTTCTTAAATATGGGCACTGTTTGCCCTTTTCCAACCATCTGGGACCTCTTCTGATAGCCATGAGTTTTCAAAGATGATGACCAATAGCTCTGCAATCACATCAGCCAACTCCATCAGCACCCTCAGGTGCATCCCATTCGGCCCCATTGACTTGTACATGTCCAGCTAGTCTAAGCAGTCCCTAACCTGTTCTTTCACCACTGAGGGCTGCTCACCTCCTCCCTGAGCTGTGCTGCCCAGTGCAGTAGTCTGGGAGCTGCCCTTGCCTGCGAAGGCTGAGGCAAAAAAGGCACTGAGCACTTCAGCCCTTTCTGCATCCTCTGTCACCAAGTTGTCTCCCCCATTCAGTAAGGGACCCACACTTCCCCTGATCTTCCTCTTGTTACCGACATACTTGTATAACCCTTCTTGTTCCCCTTCACATCCCTTGCTAGCTGCTACTCCAATTATGGTTGTTACTCTCAGTAAGACTTCTGTGAAGTACAACCAGCTCTCCTGGACTCCTCTCCCCCTCAGTCAGGCATCCCAGGGGATTATGCCCATGAGTTCCCCGAGTGAGTCAAAGTCTGCTTTTCTGAAGTCCAGGGTCCTTACTTTGTTACTCTCCATCCTTCCTTTCCTCAGGATCCTGAACTCAATCATCTCATGGTCACTGCTGCCAAAATTGCAATCCACCACTACATTCCCACCAATTCTTCCCTGTTTGTAAGCAGCAGGGAAAGAAGAGCATGGCCCCTAGTTGGCCACTCCAGCACTTGCACCAAGAAGTTGTCCCAATTACTCTCCAAAAACTTCCTGGATGTACAGACATTCAAGACCTGACTTATTCCAGTAGCAAAAATGGTGGTTCCAGAAGGAAAAAAAAAACGCATCCCAGTCTGGTAACCCTATCTGGAAGGCTGATTATTGATACACTTACCCTTTTGATAGAAGCTGCAGCACAGTCCTCCAACATTTCAGGGTACTTTGCTCCTGGCACCCCCTGCCCCTGCCACCCTGCATCCAGGCAAACTATCACTTGGCCTGGGCTCTACTGCTCCAGCAGAATGGGAAACTAAATGCACTCCCTAAGGGCTCTGAGGCTGGAAAAGTCCAGCCCTTTCTTCATCATTATGCTGTGCTCTATGTCAAAGCAAACCCCCTGGGTCTAGGTTTTCAGTCTATATGAAAGCTCCCCACCCTGGGAATCCAGTCCCACATAAAACTCCACACTCCCAGCACTGTGCTGTGCTCTCATTTCTGCCCAATGCAACTCCACCTCCTCCCCGTCAGCTCTGCCGCTTCCCTACCTACACCCCTGAGCGAGCAGGTTTCAGCTGCAGCAAGAGTCCTGCCTGGGAGCTGCTGGCTGCTGCGGTCTGACCAGCACCCGATACAGGGGAAGTATGACCTCCTTGAATCTGTTCGTCATGCATCTGCTGATGCACGATAAGGTGCCATTAGCTTCATCACACTGCCGACTCACGTTCATCTTGGAGTCCACTAGGACTGTTTTCTGCCCATATGTCCAACCTGTCCAGGTCTGCTTGTAGCTGTTCCCTGCCCTCCGGCATGTCCACTTCTCCCCACAGTTTTGTGTCAAAATGCAAAATCATATGCAACTCCTCCTCCTCTTCTCTCCTGCCTGTCCTTCCTGAACCGTTTGTGCCCATCCATGACAGTGCTCCAGTCATGCGAGCTCCCACCAAGCCTCTGTTATTCCAATCATGTTATTCCAATCATAGCTCCGTGATTGTGCAAGGACTTCCGGTTCCTCCTGCTTGTTTCCCAGGCTCGGTGCATTCGTGTGCAGGCACCTGAGCTAACTAGCCGATTGCCCTGATTGTTCTATTCAATCTTACTGCGTGGTGGCATTATCTGCAGAGTCAATTTAGATGGGTTTTTAAGACATGAAAGTAATTTAATTTTCCTTACTGAAGTAGTTTGAACTAGAGAGCACTATTCGCATTGTGAAAATAATGCAAAGGACCTTTAATATCACTGCAAATTTAAAACCACACAATCAGATTATTTACATTGATGAGGACTCATAGCTGAATTAAGATCTTCAGGTCTGGTACATATTTCAACAGGTGCTATCTTAATACTTCTTTCAAAGTTGACATAAAGTTCTCATGTCCAGGATATTGCTGGACTAACTTCCACAATTGTTAGTGCCAGGTGTGAGCATCCTAAACGATACAGTGCATCAGTAAAGCACCTATATTCTGGACGGTTTTTAAAAAATAATCACTTTCTATGATTTCATGTTGAACATATCAATTCATAAGGCAAAACATAGTTCATAGGAAACCTAAATATAGAGAGCGAATATTTCCATTTGGACTTGTATGAGCAGGGAATACAGTCCCTTTTAATGTTTGGGGTGCTCAGTTTGTGACCAGAGGACCTGGTAGATGTTTCAGGGTATAGACAGAGATCATTAGTTATTTTAGTTTAAAGTGAGGCAGAAGGTAGGGAAGTGTGGCACCTCAGAGACTAACCAGTTCAGAAAAGCATGAGCTTTTGTAAGTAGATTCTAGGAATAAACTTGATATATGGGTATATGAAGTAAGCCACATATCCTGTCCATAAATCTTTGTGTGCTAGCTGAAGTATGAAATACCTTTGGCTCCAGCTCTGTAGGTAAATGCTCATTCCTAGCATGTGACAGATGTAAGTCAGTCCAGACACGCAGAGAAATCTTTGCCATGGGCTGAATCCCAGGAAAGGTCATGGAGCTTGTAGATGTGAGTTCAGATGGGATTAGGTCCAAAGCAGGCACCCTAGAACCAGAGGTGAGCCCTTCTGGCTACACTGACTGCACAAGGGTATTAACAGGATTCCCTAACTTCTCTAGAGCTGGCATCAAGAAGCCACAGTCATCTCCTTTGTAGCTCCCCCTCTCACCTACAGGACCCTTGGTGTTTGGCAGGGCCAATCTAGGGAAAGCAATACAGGCCCTGGAACATGTGTCTGCTAGGGCTGTGTGAAGCTTCAGTCTCTGATTTAATTCAGAGGAGATTCAGCGTAATTTGGTGGCTGAATCTCTGAATCCTAATCGAATCGGGACACGCATTAATCTCTCCAAATCGAATCGGAAGCCTCCAAATCGATTCGGAGAGATTCAATGATTTGGCCGTAGACACAGCTTTATATGTTTTTTCTACATACCTCAAGGTACCAGGCATGGGTCATGAATGCTGAGATGGTGGGGTGGACGGAGCGTCCCACAGGAGCGCAGGGGGCTCCCCCGCATGCTTGGCGGCAGACCCAGAAGTGAACTGGAAGTACTTCTGGTCCACTTCTGGGTCCATTGCTGAGTGTGCGGGGATCCCCCCTCCTCGTGGCTCAGCTACTAGTGCCTCCTGGGTCTGGGGGAGCACCCGGGGTCCTCTCCGTGGCTGATCACCGAGCCAGGGGGTGCAGGCGGTGGGGGTCCCCTGCACGCTTGGCGGCGGACCCGGAAATACTTCTGGTCCACTTCTGAGTCTGCCGCTGCATGCACAGGGGACACTTCCATGTTCCCGTGGGACACTCCATCTGCCCCACCATCTCAGCATTCACGAGCCACACCCGCTACCTCAAGGTACGTAGACAAAACACATAAAGCTGTGTCTATGGCCAAATCGCTGATTCCCTGAATCAGCATCGGATCTTCAGATTCAGCCAAATTGAATCAGGACACTGATCTGAATCAGCAAATCGAATCACTGTCCCCCGAATCGGGCCAAATCCAAATCTGAATCAAATACTGTCCCTATTGTCTATCCAGCACTGGTTGGCACTAGGCTCCGGTCACATCAGTAGCCCTCACACTTTCTCCAGGAAGGGGCAACCCTGGGGAGACTGTCAGAATCATGACAGTACACTTTGAGAGGTAGCTAGCCACGCTAGTCTGAAGTCAGTCAGAAGGCAGGGTAGATACACACTTTTATAGATTAACTAAATGTGATATGTACAGGGAGTACAAACTTTTGTGAACCCAAGTTTACTTCAATATGCTTTGTCAGTCCAAAGCATGAAGTAGCTCGGACCATCTTCCTTCTGCCTCTACAGGAACTTGTTGCTGCAGAACTGGTCAGTCTTCCTGGCAACCAGTGAGAACTCCATTTTTTCCCCAAGGTTAACAGAAACGAACAGTAATTTCCCAATTACATGGCTAAATATAATGAGCAATTGGTGGAATTGGATGCTTTAAAAAATGTTTTTTTGAGTGACAGCAATATTCTGTCTGTGGAAGACACAGAATAAAAGCAAAATTACAGCTGTCTGTTTTTATCCGATTCCTACTTTATCACTGCAAGTTTAATATATTTTACTATGAATGCCATCTAATATGCTAGTTGTATCCTGAATATGAAGTAACATTTCTGAATGATAGGATATTGCTTCCCTCTGTGATCTATCTTCAATTAAGGAACGCTTTCAGGAAATGACACGTTGGGATTGCCAATGCCAATCTTTTTACCTGGGCAATTTTCAAAAAGATGCCATGTATCCCTCCAAACCCACACTGACTGTTACAATTAAATTAAATTTAATAGAAATATATCATCTTCTTAATTTCTCAACTGTGTGTGTCTGGGCCAGGAAAACATTTACTGGTTAATAATTTCTAATGTAAGAACTGAAAGAAAGTGATTAAAAAAAAAAAGAACTTCAACTAGAAACTAAAAGGCAGCGCAGATCTTTCTTCTCGGATAAAAGCTGGTGACCTCACTTTACTGTAATAGAAGATAGTAACTGCCTGTGCAAATTCCGAATGCAGAAACTAATTCAGGCCAAAGCTAACATAGATTAATTAAAAGAAATAAGCTATAAAGAGAGTGAAGCACTGGCTGCACTAACACTTAAGGGAATTCCCTGGAAATTGATCATTTTGTCCTTAATTTTAAAGCATTAAAAGGCTCAAAAGGAAAAAAATGGTATTTTCAATTGCAAATGTAACAGTGGAGAATATCTTGCTTACTCTGAGAGCAGTCTTTGCCTATCCAGCCCGGAAAGCACTGACAAGATCCATCGATAGGGTTGCAAGTCCCGTTGTTGGTACACTGACAGATTTCAGCACAGTTCTTCCCATATTTTCCACTGGGACACACTGTGGAAATACAAGACAGTTGACGCAACCCGTTCATTATGAGCATTAGGAAGTGACAGGAATTGGCATCTATAATAATATTTTTCCTACATGACAAACAGCTTGAGCCACATGGGTACAACTCATACTTGAAAAACCTAAAAGGCAGAAAAGCAAATAGGTTAAATGGACACTTGTCACTGATGGCTTAGATAGGGATGATCTCTCCTTGAGTAGGGGGCTGGCCTAGATGACCTCCCAAGGCCCCTTCCCATCCCACTTCCCTGTGATTCTAAATCCATTTTGGTTGGTAACATTTTCATTGTAAAACATTCAAGGAGATAAATGTTTCTGATTGAAAATATGGTACCTGGTACAGTTACAAGTAATTGCTAAGATCACAGTAACTGAAAGTTAGAGGAAGAATGGGAAGGAAGCAGTCTGAGGCATGTTGGTACCAGGACAATAAGTTGAAGGAGCTCAGAGCAGGGCAGCATATAGCACAATGATTCTCAAATAGGGTGCCAGGGCATTGCTTGAATGGTGCTGCAAGGTGTGAGGAGATATGTGAGGTGTGAAGTGGATAACTTAGAAGATCAAGGGACAAAGATAAAGGCAGGAATGTTTTAGCAGAAAATAACATCCTTCCTGGTGGTGGGTAGCAAAACAGTGGGAAGCAGCCAAGGAGATGACTATACTTATTTGCATTGATATCCGAGAACATGGAGTAAGGATCGCTGGAAGCCATATTAAGGAGCTAACCACACCTCCCCTGCATCTGCTGCAAGTGTTCTGTGATGGAACACCAAAAAGGAGCGTAGCACCACAGGAAAGTAGGCTGGAAGGGTCATCCAGTGCAGCCCTTTGCTCAAGGCAGGATCATCCGTGACTAAGCCAGTCCAGCCAAGGGTCTGTCTAACATCAGATCATAGGAAAGTAGGGCTGGAAGAAGAGCAACAGGACGCATCTTACACAGAGCACTTGAAGTTACTGACTATAACAGGATCAGGCCTTAGGGGCAGCTATGTGACTCCTGCTCTGCTACAGATCCTAGGGTGCCCTCCCTTTCCTCCTTCCTGCCACGCCTTTGTTGTAATAATTGGATTATGAAAAGAGAGGATGCCCAAGGGTCCTAGCATGGGCCCTCGTCCTTCCTTCAGCTAGCAGTCCCTTCCTGGATCGCACTGGTCCCAATCCTGCCCTCAAGTGCTAAGTGGGTCTTCTTAGCCTGTTAGTATCCCCGGGGCACTTGTTGCCTTAAGGGCTGAATTAGTTGCCTGCTTCCACACATTCAGTAAGGCCCATGCCTTGCAGATGTTACTGTCAGGCCTCTCCAGGCCTCCACACCCTTGTTGAGGCCTCGGGCTTCCTGGCTTCCACCCCTTCCCTCTCCCCAGGTCCACAGCCCAGGCCCACTGTTCTGAACTTCAGATCCTGGGACTGAGCCTCTGTCTCATCCCTCTTGGGCTCTGGGCCCTTAGCTCTAGCTCCTGCCCCTCTTGGGCTTTGGGACCCTGGCTGTGGTTTCTGCCTCTGTTGGGCTATGGCCCTAGCCTCTCAGCTTGAGGCCATTTCTATTGGCTTTCTTAGTCTAGGCTTTAACACTCTAGGCTTCTGCTTGCCTGTCTCTTAAGCCTGGTCCCTTGCAGGACTGGAAATGACATGGGCCCCTTGGGCGCCAAAGTGGTCTCCTCATCACCCCTTCTAGCCACAGCCGGTCCACCGGTATAAACTAGAACATACACCCAAGCCCACTGGCTAGATAACAAAACTCTTCCCCATTCTAGGTCTTAGCTTTCCTGCAGGCCATAAGTTCCTTACTTGCAGTTTCCAGGGCAGCTCAGGTATCAGTCAGTTGTTCTCCCATAGCCCTCCTGCTCAGGAGCTCCTCTCCGTGCTGCCTGCAGGACCAAACTGATCATCTTCCCTCAGGCACTGACTGTATGTGCCTCCTAAGCCCTGCCTCTTCCGGTTAGGTGGCTCCCCAGCCACCCACAGGGGTTTCCCTTTTGTGCCTGACAGCTAGCCCCAGGGCAGCTTATGGCTGCTACGCTTGCTGCCTTAGCTGTGTCCTTACTGCTCAAGCAGGGCTCTTCCCTACCATACTGTTGCTGGGCAGCTAGCCCTGCAATAGGCACTAGCAGCCTATGAGTCCCTGGCTGCCTACTCTTCTGCAGCTAGTCCATAATATGCAGTCTCCCCACTCTCTATTCTGGGAGGCATCCCTGCTGCTGCCTCTGCCAAAAAGTAACAGGATTCTCTGACTCCTTGTTACATTGGTCCATCAATTTTCTGTGCTTGTCTGCTTAACAAGCCCAAGAATGGGATATCCTACCAAAACGAGGCCTATGATAACTTTTTTATACCTTGTCATTTATGTTAAGGTAAAAGGGTAATACACACAGTCATTATCCCTCAGAATGCCAGCATCTCGTACTGGGGCCATGACAGCTTGCAAGCATCTTGTCTAGAACATGCTATCCTCCTTTACCCAGATCCTGGCCACAGAGCTAATTTAGGCACATGAAAAAATCTAAAGTTCTTTCCAGGGTATATAAGTCTGATGTGACAATAATGTTGCATTAGACCCTGCAAACCTCAACATGATATCAGTAGTAACTATGCGATAGCACTAGCAAATTCTGCTCAGAGATCTGATCCCACGTGGTGATCTGGACAGGGATGTTGTGAGCCATGCTCCGAAATCTTTTAGACACATTTGAAAATCTCTCCTCAGTGACTCAGTTCAATATGGGGTGGGGGAAAGCTCCCAGGAACCTGCAGAATCAGGTCCTAGGTGCATAATGGAAAGAGATGGTGACTTCTTTGAGCCCAAATATTTGCATCACATAAGCCTAGCCCTAGAGAAAGACAACTGCTATGATGAAGCACATGCCCTGCTGCTGAAAATTAAGCTCCTCTCAATCAGCACCCACCTACTGATTCATCCATCACTGTAATAACTGAGTGCTACCATTGCACTAAAACCAAAAAATAACAACCATGTCTATCAATGGGCTGTAACAGAAGTATTATATATGCACGCATGTGCTTTACTAAAACAGATACTGTGCAATTTAAAACAAACAAAACTATTCCTGAGTCTTGCCCTGGGATGGTGTAAAAGGCTATGTCTGAATGTTCTCTGGGGAAATCTCATAACAGTATAGGCACAGTGGCATAAAACTAATAGATAGGTATATCTTCAACCTCCCACCAAATTATAGGAAATCTTTAACATTAAAATTGATGGAAAGCTCTGCTCGGTAATACTCAGTAATTGTATTATTCTCCACAACGGATGAATTGTTGAATTGCTGGGCTCTTATTGGCTCTGCTCCTTGACAAAAACAGATGTCTCTTCAAAACAAGATAAAACACACAGTCCGTCTCCGTGAGGAATGTAACAGACGGAACTGGACTTGTATCCTTGTAAATAATAGTGATGTCAAAAAAGTGATTAAGGCACTTCTCTGAATTATTCAACTCTTTTGCCATTTCGACTATTCTCACTTTCTCATATGAATTCACTGCAGATGACCTCAATCTATTCCGAATGTGAATCAGTCGCAGATTGAAATCCTGAGCTGTGATTCATTTGCTTTTATACAATATGCCATCTTCTACTCTTACTTTGACGGAAACCTAAGAATGCAAAGAGGACAATAGCGTACAGTCTAGCTACAGACTTATCTCCAGGAGTGGATAAAGTTGACTTTCAAATTATGCACTAAACAGAATAGTGCTCTAACTGAAAAGAGATAAAACTAAAGAGAACACAAAAGAAAAAAAAAGGAAGGAAGAACCAGAGAAAGAACAAAAACTAAAATGATCTGTCAACCTGTGCTCTTGCATACACTGTGTCATTATTCAATCCTAATGCTTCCTATTCAGGATGCTTCAATGCAATATTTTCACTGCATCTTTAAGATGGAAATAGATAGCAACACTTACATGAAAACAGGATTTATTTACAAAAAAAATAGTTCTCAGAAGTCTAACTTAAAATACATCTCGGATTTACTCTGCAATACACAATGATAATGTCCATGGATGGGTTTGTGATCCTAATCCAGATGCTGACAAAGGCAGAGGCAACGCTTTCAGCTAAAAGGCATGGAGGCTAATGGGGGATTTCTACTGTGTGATCACCTGTTGTCTTTCCTCCAGCTTGGAGAAATGGTATGATGTACTAGGGGATGTTAACACAGAAAGATTAGAAGAACTATTCTGCAGAGATGGTTGTTCTCATTAGTTTTAGCAACCTGGTTGTGCTCTAACATGATGACTTGCCTTTAAAGCTGTGAGCACCAAGCACTAGCACTTTTTAAAAGCGTCAAGACATGTTTGAAATCCCTCTATAAAATGAGAACTAATAATACTTTCTATACGAGTGAGGCTTTGATTGTACAACTCTGATTGTGATGTTAATTAGTTATAAAAGCTCTGAAGTGGGACTCAGTGAGTCCCGCTGGGATGTCAGGTGTGTTCTGGCAGCCATAACATATTATCAACCCAATTTGCTACCTGATTGTGAAAGATATTTATAAAAAACAGCTGCTTAGTTGTTTGCTGCTTTGAATTCTGAGATAAACTAGTCCCAATGCATGGAACTTCTGATGTTGCAGAGCATACCCTGGGAGCATGCTAGCAATGGAAAAACGCTCCTATAGCTAAAACAGGGTCAATACGAGACGAGTGGCAGAACAAAGTGCATTCTTTGCTTCACCTTCTTCTAAGGCAAAACATTAATTAGCATTCTTCTTTCTCAAAAAAAAATACATGCTAACTGGTTATGACAAATGGCAACACAAATTGATTTTAATTAGGACATGAATATTTTAAAGTGATTCTGCTGGATAGATCAACATTTCAAAGTAAAACCAGAAGTACTCAACAGCTGAACAAAAATAAAATAGAGCTTTCTTAACAGGATAATTAGCCCAGCTCTGCATTTTGAAATCTGGCTAACTTTTCACATAAGATGGACAAATTCGCTGAAACATGCTCATTCTAATACATTAATTGGTATACTGCTTACTGGAGTAGACAGCATAGGGAAAAGAAAACATATGGTTATATTTAATCTACATTTAATGATTTTGCATACATCCTGTCTGTAATTTGTAACACACTGAAAAGCAGGTCATTAGAAAGTGTCAGTTCAATTTTTTACAAGGCCTGTGACTTATCCAGGGCAGTGGCCATTAAGAGTAATCTCTATTAAATCTATATGCAGAAAATACTCATAGCAGCAGGCAATAAATCAGGTTCTGCATAATACTGTCATGATTTCACAGGTGGCTTAGGATGTGACTGAGAAGCTGAGCCCAACATTTAAGACATGGGTTTCTAAGTTCAGCAGCTAACTAAGAGAGGTCCAATTTTCAAAGGCACTGGGGAGTCAGAGGTATATTTTAGTGGGAGCCAGGGTTGCTCCACACCTCTGAAAATCAAGCCAGTTTTATTTAGCTGCTCAAGTGCCAAATTTTCTGTACCCCCTAGCAGTCCAGGCCTGATTGCAATGGAACTTTTCACAGGGCAAGGTCCTATTCATTGCAAATGAGGCTGGCGTGCATTACTTAGCTGTTCATTTGGGTTGAAGTGGCCGCCTTTGAAAATGCAGGTCATTATATTACCCGATGTGTGTGCCCCGCATGCTTAAAAGGAACCCATGAAAGTGCCATTGCACATTTAGGACACACTAGATTAACAGAAGGAAAAATGAAAGCACTGAATAGCTGATATATTTACAGCACGCGTCACATTTTATATGCACTTAAATACAGAGCTGCAGAACTGTTTTATTTATGCATGTTGGAGTACAACGTATTTACAAAAAGATGACTAAGTATCTATTTGCATTTTGCCTGTGAAGTGAAATACTGTTCCTCCTGACCTAAACTGCTGAAGCTAAAAAAAAAAATACAAAGCAGAAAACTTGCAATCAGCCAATATGCATTCTTACTGCAGATCACATGCACATAAAACTTAAGGAACCAGCTGGTATTTTGGGGGTCAGTACCTTGGTTGCAGAGTGGACCAAAAAAACCAGGCAAGCAATCACAATGTCCCGTCACGTGGTGACATGGCCCACTGCTGTGCACACACTGAGGGCAGGCTTGACTGCAGTGATGCCCATAAAAGCCAGGTGAACAAACTAGAGAAAAAGCAAAGATCATTAGTCAATGGCGCTCAGACGACTCATCATGGTAATCAGGATTACTGATGCTCTTGGTCTGTGCATTTGTCTATAGCAAAGGACCCCATGTCGTTTCTAAAACCAGTCATATACGACACATCTGGAATCACCTCCAGCACTTAAGATCACACCGCCATGCTAAGTGCCTGATTTCTACATAAACTAGACACCAAACACATGTGCGACTGGGCAGCTACTTTGTACATGCGCTTGTAGCAGTGGCAGCTGTCCATGGCTCACAGTGTGTCTAAAAGGGTAATTATGGCAACCGCATGCAAGACTGCCAGATGTGCACTGGGTAATCCCACAAGGCACCTGTGGACATTACCCAGGCAATTGCAGGATTAATGTAGATTGAAAATACCGCAGGGTTTGCCCACCGTGAATAAAAGCCAGAAGTCAGAGAATAAGGGCTCAGCATCTCTTCTAACACTGCCCTTGTTCCTATGCAAATGTAGTTGGGAAACTCCACTGACCAGATTCACTGCCACAGGTAGGTGCAATGCATGGCTAAAGCTCACTAAGAAAAGCGACAGTGGAAATAACTTCATGTGTTTCCCTCCATCCTCCTGTGATTCCCTATTATGTGAAGCTGACTCAAGAGTTGCCACGTCCAATTTGCTCTTGTTTTTTAGCTGGATGAAAATTTCTCTGCCAGCCCTGTAGACTCACAGTGAGAGCTGGGCTCTTACACTGCTCCAGACGCTGCAGCTGGCACTCGGCTGAAGGTTGTGTTGGTGATGCACTCACCATGAAATAATCCAGCTCGCTCGTCCAGATAGTTCTGCAAGGCTAGCAGTGGTGACTCATGTGTGCCAGTGAAGTAACTCGGGTGACACAGAGGAAGGAAAGCGGCTGAGTCAAAAGGTACCATGCTTGCCTCCATTCCTAGTGCTGAATTTCCTGAGAACACGCCTGGGGAGTGCAAACCCACGTGGCCCAGCAGAGTTGTACACCTCTGGAGTCCGTGCCCCCCAGAGCCTGGGAAACAGTCGGGTGGATGTGAGGTACATCCTCTGGCTACATCGTCACAGAAAAGGATTTCGGCAGCCATGGGGGCTATTGCAGAACCAGCTGCAGGGCATCTCTGCAGTCTCAGGCTTGGGGAAGCTTTCCTCCTGCCATGAAGACTCTGGATCTCCTCAGGGCACAACCTGCTTATGGGAGCTGCATGCTGGGGACATGATTTGCCCCTTGTGGCCTACACGTCTTCAGCTGATAAAACTAAGCTCTTTTTCAGCTCAGGAAGGCCAGAAACGATTAACTTCCCTACGTTTTAGCACTTACAGGGCTTCAGACTTATAAAACAATTTCTTCTCTGGCTCCTGACTGCTTTGAGTGCCATGTTTTAGCCTTGCAAAGAAGTTTTAAAGCTCCATAGATATGCTGAAGCACCTGGAAATTGGGGTTTATAATGGAAATGCTTATAGGCCATTAAGTGCAGCAGTGCTAGAGGTCATTGCTATAATGACTTTAAATAAAATGTGTCAGCTACAAATTATTTTTTGGAGACGAGTGTGCGCAAGTGTCAAGTGAAACCGAGAAAATCAGAAGGTGTGTGTGTAGTGTGTGCATGTGTGTGTGGGCGCACGCTCACACACTGTAGCAGACCGTAAGAGAGCTCTCCAGTGCTGCCATACAGGTCATATAAACTTCAGTCTGACACTAGAGTTCAGCTTACGGACTGAGGTCAGAATATTATACAAACATTTCTACCCAGTTCCAGGAGCTGCCGTGTGAGTGTGTGTGTGTGTGTGTGTGTGGATAGGCAGAAAGCTGCAGAAGGTCTTGAAATGGGCATGGAAAGGTCCTGAGGATTAAGGAGAGGAAGGAGAAGCAGTTTTCCAGGGAAAGTGAATGAGAAGATTTTATTTCCTTAGTGCATTTTAATACGGGGATGGAGATCACCATTACTGCAGCAATCCCAGGTGGGCATCAAGGCTCCTCTGCTTCCCCTTCTAGAAAGCAAGACTTCTACATGAGCCTGCTATCAGCCCGTGACCCTGCGAGCCGGTGCACAGCCACTCTTCACTGCGTAAGGGGTCGCAGATGACTCTTGCCTGCATCTACGTGGTGGATGAACTCTGACCTCCATTTTCACCGGCTGCTATTTATGATGCCTGGACCTTGTGTGAAACTCAAGCAAACAAAAACAGCAAGCACGAAAGGTACCTCTTCCTGCACATCACTCCCACTTTTGAATTGTGCGTGCAACCTGTGCCCTGTCCCTGAATCCCAGCACACGCACATCCTGCAGTTACCCTCACGGTGCTTTTACTTTCTTTTTGCCCCAAACCTTTCTGAGGTTGATTAACAGTGATGCTTTTCCGGCTTTGCAACAATAAATGCCCCTCCCAGGGGTGGAGGCCTGACTGGACACTTCTCTGCGAGAATGGAAGTCCTGAGGATGATCACTGATTCAGGATGGTGCTTGTGTGTGCTATCTGAACTGCTTGTTAAACCAGGACGTGTTGCTCTGTCTTCCTTCCTTAATCTCCAGAACCATTTACAGTGCAACATTTGGTATTCTCACAATACACCTGTCCTCCAGGGACTGAATTAAAAAGCTGCAATAACTCTTCTATGTTGGGCAGTCCCCAAGGGGCGAATGGACCTGGAGTAGCAGGAAGGCTGCGGCAGGAGCGCACTATGAGATTGCTTTCTTTCAGGATGCCTCAGTTGACTGACAAAGGAGCGTTTCCTGAGCTACTCTCTCCCCTGAGACCCCGAGCCTACCGTTGGCTCGTGCAGCTCAGAGACCTGTGCCTCTGTTGTGCTGCATGGAGCCCCAAGTAAACACTTGCTTTTATCAGGACAGTAAGTCTTACTTCTCTGGCACATCGGTCCTCTGTATCCTGGAGCACAGTCACAGGTCCCATCCTCTGGTGAGCAGGATCCTCCGTTCTCACAGTTGCAAGAGATGGAGCAGTTTGGCCCCCAGCGGCCCTGGGTGCACATGTTATCACAGCGGATGCCTGAAGAACATAAATACATGGAATAGGTTTCAACACAGCTCGTTCTATTCAGGGATCACGCAGGTGCGTGAGTGCACTGCAGAGCTGGAGCACATTACAGAACAAACCAGACAGCCTGGCTAAGAAATATCTCCTCTGCTCATAACAGCTGCTTCATGCATGGACAGTGCAGCATGCACAAGGGCTGAATCCTGCAGGGTGTGTAGGGCCAGGGGTGCAGTGGTGTGTCCGCACCCCCTCCGATCACACGGCAGGAGCAGCAGCGTGAGACTTTAAAAAGTCCCAATGAAGGTAAGCATTACCCACTCCCTTGTCCATGCTCAGAGACATGTCCCCTCCCCTTCCCCGATCCCTTGCCACCACTGCCAGTGTCTGAGTTGTCCTGGGGGCTCCTGCCCCACTCCAGCTGGGCTGCACAGGGGCTGGACTCGGCCCGGGACACTGGTGATGGTGGCAGCCATGCAGGCAGCTCCCACCAGCCTGGGTGTTTTCTACCAGTGTGGAAGCAGGCACAGGGAAGGGAAATCCACCTGCCCACTGCCACCATCCTGGGCTGAGCCCAGCCCTGCATAGCCTGGCTGGAGCAGGACAGGAGCTCCCCTCACCCCTGGGTCAGCAGGGACAGCGTGGATACTGGCAATGGGGGAGGGGGTACAGAACAGGGAAGGCCTGGAGAGAGAAAGGGACAGGATGTGCCTCTAAGCAGGGAGGGGAAGGGAGGTGGGAAATGCTGACTTTCTTCAGGATTTAAAATTCCCAACCAGAGAGAAGAGAAGGGAGGAGGCTGGGAGCCGGGCTGCAGCCACCCCTGCAGTGCTGGTCAGTGCTCCTGCACCCCCCTCTATAGCATCCTGGATCCTCTTCTGCATTGGATCTCCCCTGCAGAACGCAGTACCACATAGGACTGACCCCTAAGCATTGTCAGTGGGAACAAAGAGCAGCAAGTGTCTTTTTTAAAAAAGATCAGAGGACACAGGGCTGGAACTGAGCAGCCAGTTCAATTCTGCTTCCAAGCCCCTCGCTGTGAAATGGGAGAATGAAAACGCCTGAATCAGAGCTGAGCTCTGTAGAAAAGTCTTCCCTTCTCCAAGTCTCTAATGTCTGTGGTTTAGTTCTACGGCGGGGACAGGACGCTGTCCACGTCCCGTCTCAACCCCGTTGTGTCACGTGGGTCTGGGTCATCACACGGTGAGCTTCCAGCAGAGTGTCTGCGCGTTAATGCCTTCAGGCCCCAATCCTGCAAGCAGCAACGCATGGGCACCACTTCTCTGTTTTGCAGGTGAACAAGAGGAGACCAAGAGCGGCAACTCCAGCCCCCATGTTCCCAAAGCAATTGTTTGACATTTATTGTGATGAAAATCAAAGCTTCAGAAGTGCAGAAAAGCTCTGCTGCCCAACTTCAAAGCACCGCTCTCTTGTGCTGTTTTAATTGGTGACTTTTAAATACCAGCCTGGTGTCTCTAGACACCTGTATCAACTGTGGGATTTGAGCCTACAAACTGTTACCCACCAGAGAAGCTCTTCCTTCTGTGAGTAAGTTAGGACCCACAGCTGAGTTCAGCAGAGCTCCTCACGTGATTAAGGGCTTCTCAGAGGAGTAAAGGTTTGTAGGACTGGGAACTAAGGGAGACATAAAAAGCTGGCAGCAGCAGGAAGTGGCATTAGCTTTGGCACATTGTAGAAACTGATAACACAAAAAAAATACAGACGGTGCCTTGAAAACTTTCCTAACAACGTTACCTCACCAGGTGCCTTACAACTGCTTCACCCAGATTTGATGGCATACACGTGCCCTAGCCACGCTTTCAACATGAAGAGGTTCTTTATCATCCATGCACATGTTCCCACTGCATAATGGGATAAATGCAGACAAGGATTCTGAAAGATCCAGCCTCAGCCAGAGGTTGGATTAATGCACTACGAAGGATAAATACAATCCCAAGTAATTTCCTACACCTCTGATAACTTCATCTGGATGCTACAGGTAATGTACTGTATTTGTGAAGCTGCAATCTGTACAGTTACCAAACTTTGAGGATTATTAAATCAGCTAAAAGTCATTATAAACACACTTACAGTGCAGTTTCAAGGCGGTTTTATAAATCTCTGAAGTTAATAGACTAAAAATACCGCAGAGCTGAAATTTCCTTTTTCTGAAGATTAATCACACAATTATGGTGACCCTTCCTAGGAAATCTTAACCAAGGCTGGCAAAAAGTACAGTTTGAAATGGGATTTCTAGTAATACACAATCATAGCTTTATTCACAAAGAGCCACAGCTGTACAACTTAATAAAAAACAAATTAAAATACAATAAAAATATAATAAAACTCACCCCCTTAATATTTAAGCACACAAAGCCAAACAAAAAGGACTCAAAAAACAAACAAAAAAAAAAACCCCAAGGAAGAGTTGATGTAAGCAAAATTACCTGAGAGAAAAATAATAAAAAATCACTACTGAAATAAAAGAAGCCTTTGGCACATCTAGGTTACATATTCTATGAATGTGAGTGCTGGTATATAATGTAGGATAAGCATTAAGAAATACTATAATGAAAAAGCAGGCCTATTATATGTACATACATAGGCACGTTTATACTTTTAAGTGACCCATTCAGGCTCCAGAAATTAAACTTAGATATACATTTAGAAGAATAAGTGTCTTTTCCTCCCGACTGCTGTATTAAAAATGCAAATTTTTTATTGCAGATGGACTATTTAGAAATGGAGACAAGTAGCATTCTTTCTTGCCTCTTTTTCCAAAGTTTGGGAAATGATGACATTGACTCCTCTCCTTTGAAAGGTAGCTGAATTAGAATGCATGGCTGTTCTCTGCAGTAGCAAAACCTCTCCCTAAGTAATGAATAATGAGGGATGTCTTCCCTTTTCTAACTAAGGCAATGAGTCATTGTGAGGCCGATTGTTCTAACAAAATGTAAAGGGGAAAAGAAAGAAAACCTTCTATGAGACACTTCCACCCCTTACAGCTCTTATTTTATTTATTAATATTCAGAAGATGACTGAAGGATTCATTTTTGCAGAACAGGCTTTATATTATTTCCAAAGGAATCCTTAGAAAAGTTGCTTTTTTGGATGCCCGTGCCCATGCTGCTTTGCAAATAAAAACAAGCAGTTTAAGTTGCATCTGGGCATGTATATTTTGCTGAAGAAGCACCTTAATTTACAATTTCCTCATTCGACAGTATAGTGAGGGTGAGTGTATCACTCCCAGCTACTTTACAATCAGAGCTAGTGGAGCATTAAGCTTCCTTAACGCAAAACTTTAATCTTTACTTAAAAACTTGCTGATGAACATTTTTGATAAGCAATTAGTGTTCAATATGTAATTCCCAGAAATATAGAAAATGCTGAAGTTTACATATTTCAGCATAATCTCAAATTGCAACCAAAGGTTCATGATTTATGAACAAATCCCTCATTTTACATGCCTTATGTACAAATTAGGAAGACAACTATCAGAAGAGTATGTCCTCAAAGCTGGAAGAAGCAGTTCCATATGCGCATACCCCCTTGCCTCCATGCTGGGGAATGATCTTGTCTCATGAGGCTCTTGTTACCAGGAGCTCCTCCAAAGATTTGGTGGGGGGGAGAGCTGGGATTATAAAAGGAATTCAGGGAACTTGCATAAAGCTAGTCATCTGTTGTACAAGGGCAAAACCACAGACAGAAACTGCAGGCTAGGGAGAGAGCTGTGATCCCTGGTGGCCCTTAATCCAAGCTGCAAACTGAAGTCTTGGTGCCAATCCCTCTCCACTGTGAGGTGCTGTGGTGTATAGGCAATGGGAACTGCACCGATCCCATGGCCCGTTTCCACTGCTGTCCTTCAAGTTGTCCTCCTGCATGTCTGGGGATGTGGTGTGACTCTTTTGACAGTGGCTATTTCACCACGTACATGCTGCAAGGGGTGTTTATATCCCATAAGCAGATCCTGCTCTGCAGAAACTGAGCCCAGTGTGTGAAATGCTGTATAAACATTTACAAATTGTATTTGGGGTCAGTTTATCTCTAGTTAAAAAAGGCAAGGATGGGGGAAGTCCCAAGAGGCAGCCCCTACCCTACATCAGGGCAGCTTTGGGTCAAGGAGTCTTCCCTCAAGCGCGCTCTCAGGGCACCTTCATTCTGCGTGGGAAAACAACTGGCCATTTGGTCCTTGCTGGTGCTTGGCTCAACCTTGGATAAAAGCCCCTAAACAGGGGAGATGGGAGAATAGTTCCTGGGCAGGCCAGTGGGATTGAAGAGCTCACTCTGCAATTGGGTGTATTCAAGCCTAGATCTCTGAAGGGGAAAGTTCAGTGCATTTAACCACAATGTTAACCCTGTTCCAGAAAACCTTCCAGTGTCAACACTTAATCTGACAAGGGATCCTTTGTCTGACACCGGATCCCCCATGAGAGAGTGGAAGTTATATTCATGAGAAAGAAAAGCAGCACACTGAGCAAGAGAAGCAGGTCAGATGGAGGGAGAGGGAAGGGGAGGTCTGGGCAGGGTTAATTGCCGATGGGAAGCAAATTTGTCTGATCCCCCAGAGGACTATGGTATGACAACGGTCCAAGGACCATGTCTCATTTTGGGGGCTGGGGTAGTTAGTGAAGATGGAAGGGGAGTCCTTTTATGGCTGCAGTTTTCAGCTGTTGTAAATCTGACTTCAGTGGAGCGACACTGATTTACAGCCACTGAAATTATGGTTGTTTGCCTTCAATATTAGAAACCAGGTCATAAAAATATTATATAAATGACCATGAGGAATATGGAGCAAGAAAGAGGGAGAAAACAGGCAGATGGGGACCTAGTGTCTATGGCATCTGTGAAAGAGTTAGGCTGTATAACACTTCCGTTGTTAGCCATAATGTCATGTCCTCCCATGAGACAGTAGGAGTTTGTCACCAGTTCGTATTGCTTGTGGGTA